CAGCAACGGCTGAGTCGCGTCCAACAGAAAACATTTAGCTCCTGGGACAGATTTCTCAGGAGGTGTTTCCTCCAATGAAAAGAAAAACTTCTTTGTCTTTAACGTTCTTGTAAAATGTCATATTTTACACTTTAAGCTTCAACTTTGGTGGGAAACACGGAGTCAAAGCTGCTTTTATCGCTGCCAAATTTGGTACAAATATTCATTCTACTTTTCATGCTGCGTCGCCTGCACATCAAAGTATTCACTTAATCTGATAAAAATACTATAAACTGTACAGAGACTCAGTGTTACGTACTATTTTCTGGCACTGTTGCTGCTGGATTTATTTATTTATTTTTTATTAGTGGGTGAAAAACAGTGAAATAATGTCTTTACAAAAATTTTTTAAAAAACTGCAAATAATTAGTTGATTAAATCCAGTTAAACAGCATAATTTTACAGACACACACGGTAAAAGAATTAATTATTATATTTAAAAATGCAGACAAAATTAAAAAGTGACATGTAATTTTATAAAATGGAACTTTTTACAATGTTCACAACAGAAATATGAATGGAAATACAATGAGATGAAAAAAACAAACAAAACCATCTTTTTACATAAAATCCTCTTATTCCACATTGTTTAATTATTATTTTGTTGATTATATGAAAATTATTACTTTTGACTGTGACTTTACTAAAACCTGTTGCACAATCAGTCCTTAATGTTCAGAACTTTTTGTTCAAATAACATCAAATATCAGTAAAACAATGAATCCATCCAATTCGGGATTGGGTCACAGAGGCAGCAGGCGAAGCACGTCATTCCAGACTGACCTCCCCCCAACAAAACGCTTCCCAGCTCTTCCTCCGAGGCGTTCCCCGGCCAGCCGAGAGATATAATCCCACCAGCAGGTTCTGGGTCTGCCCCGGGGTCTCCTCCCAGGTGGACATGTTTGGAAAACCTCCAGAGGAAGACTTCCCAGAGGCATCCGAATCAGATGTCCAAACCACCTCAACTAACTCCTTTTGACGTGAAGGAGCAGCGGCTCTACTCCGGGCTCCCTTTAGATGTCCGAGCTCCTCACCCTATCTCTAAGGCTGAGCCCAGCCACCCTGCAGAGGAAGCTCATTTCGGCCACTTGTATCCCCGATCTCATTCTTTCGGTCACGAACCACAGCTCGTGACCATAGATGAGGGGTGGAACGTAGATGGACTGGTAAATCGAGACCTTCGCCTCGCGGATCAGCTCCCTCTTCACTATAACGGTCCAGTACAGCGCCCACATCACTGCTGACGCTGCACCGAGCCGCCTGTCCACATCGTGCTCCATTTTCCCATCACTCATGAACAAGATCCCGAGATACTTAAACTCCCTCGCTTGAGGAAGCAACTCCTACCCCAATCCACTGGTTTCCATCAGAGGACCATGGCCTCGGACTTGGAGGTACTGATCCGCATCCCCACCGCTTCACACTGAAAACCGCTCCAGTGCGTGCTGAAGGTCACGGTCTGATGAAGCCAGCAGTACCACGTCATCGGCAAAAAGCAGAGACGTGATCCTGAGCTCCATAAACCGGACACCCTCCTTACCCTGGCTGCACCTTGAGATCCTGTCCAAACAGGATCAGAGACAAGGGGCAGCCCTGGTCGAGTCCAACACCCACTGGGAACGTGTCTGACTTCTTGCCTAGAATGTGGACACAGCTCGCACTTTGGTTGTACAGGGACCGAATGGCTCGTAGCAGTGAGCCTGGTACCCCATACTCCCTCAGTACCCCCCACAGAGCCCCTCGGGGAACACAGTGGGAGGCCTTCTCCAGATCCACAAAGCACATGTGGACGAGCAGGTCAAACCCCCATGCCCCACTCAGCAGCTCCACGAGGGTAAAGAGCTGGTCCACTTAAAAAAAATTCATGATTTTGTCTTTTTTCAATACAGTCAAACCTTACAAAAGAACAGATTACTTTTGAGGTGGACGTTATTTACAATTTAAAACTTTTTAAACATTTTTTTACACAGCATATAAATGAAAACTTTCTTCCTGTGCTCAAAGCAGATATTATCAGTAACATAAATCTGTAAAATAACAGTGAGTTGTTCAAAAAAGGATGACAGTTCAAAACAAACTGTGGTGTTTTACAATGAGACTGAATCAGCTGGAAACTCAAACATTTCAACGAGCTACTCTTGAAAGACTTCAGTCTATTCAGGTTTAATGAACTCTAACATGGATCCAGAATCATAAAGTCCAACTCCAGCATGTAGCCGCTGAGTGAA